GGGTTTTAGGGTTTAGGGCGTTTGGGTTTAGGGTTTTCGTTTAAGTGTTGAACTTTCACAGGGACTTGTACGCTTCCGCTTGAAGGTTCTATCAGGGCTCCGTAAGGGATCTACGAGGTTTGAGGGTCTAGGGAGCCGGTTTAGGAGAGTTTCGGGCTTAGGGCTTAGGGTTTGATGCTTAGGGTTTAGGATGCAGGGCTTTGGGTTTAGGCTGTAGTTCAGGGTCGAAGGTTTAGGGTTGTAGTTTAGGGGCTAGGGCTTGGGGCTTGGGCTTAGACCCTAAACCCTAAACCCTAAACCCGTGGTTTAGGCATTCGGACGTTGTGTTAGGCAGCCTCTGCTAGTAGGTATGCGCAGGATAGGATAGGTCAGGAGCGATAGGAAAGGATAGATACTGTCACACGGTAGGGCTATGGAAAGTATGGTGGCAAGGCAAAGTACCGGATAGGATAGGGTTTTCTTACGCTCTCTCTCTGGCTCTCTATCTATCTATCTATCTACCTATCTATCTACGGCTCAGAAGACCGCACAAGGGCGGATAGCTGGAGCCCCAGTACCCAATGCGGGGTACGTCATGAGCCATCTCATGACTGGGCGACTGGGCTCAGGATACCTCACCTGCAAGATGATCTTTGCTCCGCTGGCGGATTCCCTGTTTGCTTCAGCAAATTCCGGGCAGGTGTCGCCGGTCGCACAGCTTGCTGAGGAGGGGGACGAGACACCGTGGTACAACGAATTTTCCAGGCCTGCTCCCAGCACAAGCGACGGGAGGCACAAAGTGGAAAGGACATCACTGCTTTGCAAGGTGGACATGTTGAGCACTGGTGTGGAGGACACGCTTCCACACTACACGGTACAGGAGTTTGCGGCTGGCTTCAAGAAGACGTTGGCTTTCCAGACATGCGCAAAGAAGCAGGACGGAGGCTCGTCAGGCAAGGGCATCGATCTGGATCATCAAGCAGAAAGCTGGCAGCCACTGCACGTCACCCCACGGGAGGGTGTTCATGGGCGCGAGGGTCACGCTGTGCAAGGTGGCCATGTTGAACAATGGTGTGGCTACTACACAGTAGAGGAGATTGCGGCTGGTTTCATGAAGTTTCCGGACGTGCGCCATCCAACAGAACAGAAGCTCTTCAGGCGAGGGCATCTGCATCATTAGACGGAAAGCTGGCAACTACTGCACTTCACTGGTCGTGAAAGTGTTCGTGGGCGAGGACGACACGCTGAGCAGGGTGGCCACGTTGAGCATTGGTGTGGAGGACGTGCTCCCACACTACACGGCAGAGGAGTTTGCGGCTGGCTTCAAGAAAGCGCTGGCTTTCCAGAGTTCTGCATGATTAATGATTAAGTTTGTGGCGGACGCGGCAATTTTGGCTGCCTCCGTCTACCCAGGGCGCATCATTTGCGGACGGTGTATGTCCTTGTGAAAGCTAAGATTGGACATGTTTCTCATGGAGATGGCCAGGATGGCTATCAATCACAAGGTAACCAGATGTCAAGTTTTATTTCGGTCTGGTTTTCCCGAAAGCATCGCGAAGGGTTCTTCCGTGCGGAGCCTCGCAGAGAAAATACATAGAGAATACGTGGAGTCAAGTACACTTGACTTTACCACACTTGACTCTACGACACTTAGCTTTACCACACT